TTACTTTTACTTTTTATTTTATTCTTACTATCATAAATATTTCTTATTATAATATAATTTATTTGTTTCTATCACTATATCTTTCTATTATCCATTTATATTATTTGGGTATCTTCTTATATATTATTTTTTTATTGAAGATTCATTTCATTATTTATTGTGGTGATTTCTTCAATATTCTATTTTCAATTTAATTTTTTACTTTTTCATCATGTTATTTCATTTCTTTGATTTGATTATTGTTAATTATGAATTGATAATTTTCACATTTATCATTTTATAATTTCTTATATTTATCAAATATTTCTTCAAACTATAATCTTTTATTCTTACAATACTTATTTCTTCTATTTCTTTCATTGTTATTTTTTATTCTTCAATTATTTTCAATATTATTCTCTTTAATTCAATATCAATAAAATTGATTGAAGATCCAGTTTATTTCATTCTGTATATTTTCATCTTCTCTAATATTAACTTCTTTAATTCTTGTTATTAATTTATTCATAACCAATTTCAATTCTATTTCATTTCATAACTTCAATGTTTGTTCATTAATTGATTCTATTTCTATTTTCAATTTCTCATATTCTTTACTATAAGTATTACTTATTTTTATTTTGATTTCTATTTCTTTTGAAATTCATTTTTCATTAAATCTGTTTTAATATTAATTTGACACTTTTCATATTCAATTATTCAATATTTTTTATTTTATTTAGTAGTATATTAATATTTAAATTATAACATTTTTGTTAATTGAAGTATTTCAAGATTTTAGAATGTATTTGCAAATGTTAATTTATTTTTTCTTTGTTTGGTTGTGTTCTTCTTGTTTAAATCTTAGTTGTAATTTACCTCTTCACCTTTTATCTATTTCATTTACACTATTATTTTTTAATTATTTTAAATGAAGTATATTTAGTAAATCAATAGATGATACCAGATTCAATAATTAGTGTTTCAATATATTGTTGTTTTATTATTAATTTTGTATTTTTTGTTCTAATACAAAGATGTTTAATATGTTCTGGCAATTATTATAATTTAATTCTTGTAATTTGAACACTTTCTTCAATATTTTTTTTGTAAATGTTTATCAATTAAAATAGAATTAATATATAAGTTATTGTGAATATTATAAATTTTCATTTTATTTTCATTACTAGTATCGTTTAATTATATTAATATCAAATAAATTAGTATCAACAATATCATTTAGTGTTATTCTAATAGGTATTAGATTTGTTCATTTCTTCTATTAGAATAATTTTATAAGAATATTCTTTAATACTTTTCTGCATATTAGAAATAACTTTTTCTTGTGTATTATCATAATAATTAGTATTTTTTCTACATTTTTATCTATCTTCAATTTGTATTTTATTCAATTATTATTTGATTTGATATTTTTCTATTTTAATTTTATCATTATTCGTTCAATTATTACTGAAAATATTTCATTGCATCATTTTTATTTCTTTTTTTTTTTGAATCTTTTCAATTATAATTTCTATTAATTCTTTTAATATTCTGAATGATTGTTAGTGTTTAAATTCTGAATAATTTTATTATTCTTTCTTTTTCTCTTTCTTTCATTCATATTTATTCTTCTCAGCTTTCTATTTTTCATTAAACATTTCCATTGTTCTTATAAAACTATTAAACCATACTTTCTTTTCATTTTTCATTGTCATTAAATCATTAACATTAAGTAAATTACAATTTTTTCTTGTTAAATTGAATATTATACAATACTATTAATTTGTTTTTCTGATATAAATTATGGATTAACTTTTAATGAATTAATTATTGTTTAATATTTGTTATTAATTATTTCAACACTTTGAATATCTTTTATATTTCTGGTGTATAATTTTATTTTCATTAAATAAATTATATCATCGTGTTTTATTTCACTTTGTGTATAGTTTGATAAATTCATAACTTTAATTGTTTCAATTATTTATTTTCTAGTTCATCTTATTCATCATTATAGAATTCTTTATTTAATGAGATATTAATTTAATTATTTCTTTAAAAAAATAATATTATTGAGAAACATTGAAGTTTCATTGATTTTTTTAATTAAACAATATATTACATTAATATAATTTAAATTATCTTCTTTTATTTTTATTTTGTTTTTCATTACAAATAATTTAAAATTACGAAATTAAAAGATAATAATTCTTGATTTTTCTATTTTATCCATTCTTTACAACTAATATATTATAATTAGTTATTTATGTACTAGGTTATTAACAGAAGATATATATTGAATTTAATAGACTATTATTAATTCATTAGTTAGTGATTTTTATTATTGTAATTTTTGGATAAGATTTGTTAAAATTTCAAATATACTTGTTATTAAATTGATGATTAAGTGTAATATTAAACTCGTTGACATCATGTTTTATACTATAAATCAGAGCACTAATTTAAGATATAAGAAAAAAATATATTTTAATATAAAATAAAATAAGAGTCAATATTAAATAAAAATGAACTAATTAAAAATAAATAAAAGTAATTGAAGGTATTGTATTAACAATAAATAATTATTGTTAATCAATATTCAAATGATAATTAAAAATAATTAAACAACTTCAAATAAGTTATAATAAAACAATCAATAATATAACAAATAAATGAAATTTTAAATATTAAAACATATTAATTAATACAAATCAAATGAAAAAATAATTAACTTATAATGTTTAATACAACAATGAATATGAAATAGAAATAAGTCATAAAAAAGACTTAAAAAATTATACTGATAATAATTAAAGTCACAAACCCTGATATAATCAAATCTTTATAATAATTTA